AATTGAATAATCTAAAATTTCCATTCCTGTCCTCGTGGACTAATCTGTAATAGTGTTAAGGGACTGTTATGATAATAATTAAATACAAGTCCTGCATACAAAATTGATACTCTGCATCTCCATCTCCACAAGGGAGTTTCTCTCTTAATAAGACTTAAATCAAGTTTTAACTTTTTTTTTTTTAAAGAATTCATAAAGATGATCATATTGTACTGAGATAACATACATCTATATATGAGAGAACAAGATATTTCAAATATATGAGCTCTGGCGCATTCATCTCGTTCTCTGATCTCTCTGATCTGAAATTAGTGGTGTCAGGCTAAATCAACGCTGACGAATGACCCTCCCTGACGAGCCGGGGCTGCTGGCAGTGGCGGTTGCTGCTCAGCTGGCAGCGCTGCTCCCTCTGTCACCCCAGCACAGGAACAGGAGCATCTCCACTGATGGATGCTGCTGCTGCTGCTAAAGCCATTGGGTTTTTGTAGAGCATCGGGCTCCTGCCAGTAATTTGGCAAAGTCACATCACAGGCAGCGTTGCTCCTGCTCAGAGCGGGACTCAGCAGGGCACGGCTTTGCCCTGAGTTTCAGGGAACCCTCTTCTCTAACTTCTCTTCAGGCATTGGGTTTTGGAGAGACCAAAATATCCTCAATAGAGGACAAAGAGCAACAGAATCGGCACCAACCTTCCAAAACGCAGAGGACGAGAGGGGGATTTACTATAAAAATATGACCTCATTTTAATTTTAGCAGCAGTTTACTATGAATTCACGTGAATGCGCCATTTATAGGCACCTGGAAAGGTTCATGGCCAAGAAAAGGCAAACGCACCAGCTGAGCCAACCATCTGTAAAATCGGAGCAGCACCACTCCAGAATGATGTTAAAGCTATTTCAACACTCCCCTTACTATTATTTATTAGTTAAAATTTTTAATTATGTGAATTGATTAGGAACATATCACCAGGGATCCTAATAAATTAGAATGACCTCATTTTAATTTTAGCAGCAGTTTACTATGAATTCACGTGAATGCGCCATTTATAGGCACCTGGAAAGGTTCATGGCCAAGAAAAGGCAAACGCACCAGCTGAGCCAACCATCTGTAAAATCGGAGCAGCACCACTCCAGAATGATGTTAAAGCTATTTCAACACTCCCCTTACTATTATTTATTAGTTAAAATTTTTAATTATGTGAATTGATTAGGAACATATCACCAGGGATCCTAATAAATTAGAATTTTAAAAAGGATCACGGACTGGAGATTTTTAATGGATTCCACAAAGAATTGCACAAAGAGGCATATTAAGGGAAAGGCCAAATTAACTTCTCCTTTCTGATTTATCCAGCAATTTCTAACAGGATTGTGCATCAGATTAACCAAGTAATATCCAAAACCCTCATGCAAAGTGATGTTAACCAAGACAATAGCTTGAGGATTTCACACAGTTATCATTTAACATCCGCTTGGTTAATTAGTTTATTCCTCTTATTCCTTGTTTATTTGAATTAGTGTGTTCCTATTTAAATTGGTTTATTCCTTATTTATGTCCTAAATTTGCTTTAGCTGCATTGTTCATGCTCACCAAATCCTTCTATATGGTACTGATAGACACCAGCATCCCCAAGTATCTGGTGTAAACTTTTTGGTTCAAAATGCATTTTTTTTGCTTACCCAAAACTTGGTAAGATGCAGAAGCCGTCACGCTGATGACACTCAGGAAGTAATTAATTATTAAGTCTACTAATACAAATGCCTTCTCAGAATTGGCTGGTCAGCAGTTTCACAGGCCAATGTGTTTCTCCTTCTTGCCTATTACTTGCAGTTTCCAAAGCTCTGTTTGGATGCTATCGATGCTCTTGGCTGTCGGCTTTGCAAGTATTTTTCCATCAGTGCGATGATGATACCTATTTATCTTCTGGCTGCAAGAGTCGCTGAGATGATCTGGCAGTGCCACAAGGCAGACAGTTATTTCATGCCCTGTTAAACTGTAACGTGGTTAACTACAGTATCACTCCAACTTCGAAAAAAGCCTTTTTTATTATTTTAAATCTGTTGCCTATGTGTCCAAGTAAAGAACATCGATTCCCATTAGGATGGTATCAGAAACATAAACCCATAACGCTATCTGTGAAGTAGCATGGTGTACTGATCGAGTAATTAAGAAAGTTAAAAATACATAATTCTGCCCAAGGAACACTTGGAGGTCAAGAAAATGAACTTTTTCTGCATTGTTCAGAACGGAGACTGGCAGCAATCTCTTAGATGCCGCCCGGTCAGCGAGATGGGACAGCAAGGGGGTATCAGGGCAGGTCAGTGAAGGGACGGTGCAGCAGAGTGCGGAGGGGTTTTCTACAGCTTTTGGAAAACACTGACGCTTTCAGGCACACTCAGTACAAGAGATGTTTCTACAGTGGACCCAACTCTTTTAGACCCAGATTTATGCAGGAGTTAAATTTCAGACCCAAATCTCTATTTGCCTGTCCCTGTTGGATTCTTTTTGTCTGTCTTTCCATACATAAATTACTACGACTTGAATCATTGGTTCCTTTGTATGCTCTAATACCCGGGGGAAAAAAATATTAATTTCTTTTCAACACTTAGATGATCACTCTGGATTTTGATACACCCTTAGTGCTACTTAACACATAGATTTATGTGGAAGTTGTGTTCCTCCAGTTCTGAGCCCCAGTAATAACTGCCATTAATTGTTCACAGTGTTGGCTCCGGAACCAGGTTTGTGCTCGGTTATTGCTTTATCTGCTGCAAGACCTAGCAACGGTAAAACTGGCCGCATCCCGCATCTGCCAAAGGCAGGAGGCTCAGAGCTGGGTCTGTCGGGCCTCGCAGCGAGAAGATTGAGGGACGACTTGATGAGAGGGTGCGAGTACCTTCTGAGAGATAAAATACAGGTACTAAAGGGCTCTTAAGCTGGAGAAAGACATAGAGGAATGAATGGCCGAACCCTGGCACATTCAAATCACAAAACAAGTACTTTGACACTCATTTTCTTAAGTGGCAAATGTGATCAGCCATGGGAAGAAACCCTGAGAGCTGTGCGTTCTCCAGCTCCTGATACATCCAATTTCAGATTTGTTACTTTCCAGAAGACACACTTCAATAAAACAGAAATTATTGGGTTCAGTGCAGGGCTATTTGAGTTAAGTGTGATCGCCACGCACATCCACGCACTCAGGCACTCTAGGGGTTGATCGCTTCATCTTTGAAAAAACGTCAGAAAGTATTTATTTAATCATGTGCATGTGTGGTAGCCGATGGTCACCACCACTCTCCTACAGGGAAGTTTTGCAGCGCAGGTTTTGGTATTCTGCATTGTTAAGGTTCACAGAAGTTAATTAAATCTCGCTCTCTAAACCCGAAACAAAAACAACGCACAATTTCTATTATGCTGACTTTTCTTTTGGCTTGTCATAATAAAACACTGTTATTGGATGCAAAAATTATGGAACAGAGTTATGCCTCTCTGGTGTAATATAATGCATTCCATTTAATACTATTTTAAACCCAAAAACCTCATTAAAGCAGACAGAACGTAAGAATGACAAATCACCCAGAAGGAAGCTGGAGCATGAGATGTATTCCAGGCACTCGGCTGCTTCGAATCCCCCACGCTGAATTTGGTAACACCACGCAGGTGTCCAAAAACCCCCAGCACAACTCTGGGAGCCACGCTGGGGAGCACAGGGTGCTCATCACCCGGATACGAGAAAGGTTAATTCCATGCAAAACATCTGCCAGGACTGGGGGTGAGGTCGGAAAGCCTGGCTTAGCCCGAGGTCCAGCCTGAAAGGTATTGGACACGCTTCGAGATAACAGGTTAAGCTTTGCCTGTCACTGAACAACACCAATTATTCCAAATGCTGCAAATTGTGCTGTGTTATGCCCGTGTAACTGGGTGCAGCTTCCTATCCATAGGGATGCATGCAGTCTATTAACTGCAGAAATCAATACAGCTTATACAAATACATACCCTTATGGCTTCGCTACTCATTTGCCAAAATTAGAGTATTTCTTAATGACACAGCTAAATGCTACAATTATACGTTTTAACACCCTTTTACCATTTTGGCCTGAAGTTCAGTATAAAATGCAGGGAATACAGCCCTACTGTGTTAGGAACTAAGCTAGGCAGAGCTCTGCAGTTAGACTTCTACTATCAGAAAATGTAATTCCCATTTAATAAAATATAAAAGAACAAGTGAAATAAATGTACTTCTTATCCACATCTGTGCAGGCCTTTAACATCAAAAGTGATCAGTGCTATGAAGTAGCTCTCTCCTCACACAGACGGAACTGAAGAAAGAATAGTTGTGTCAAACGACAACATATTTTAGAACAAACAGGCTTACTCCAGAAATACTGTGTCACGTGAAATCATCCATCCGAATTTCTTTGAATGGGTAAATACCATCAGTAGAGCAATGGCCTCCTTCAAAACAAGCCTTGAAGCAGAGTCTGATTCTGGTCTAAATTCAACAGAAATTCTACCTCTGTATACTGTAAGACCAACACTTAATAAGCATATGGAAAATTATGGCAATTGCTACCAAAAACTAGCTGGTATTTTGTGAGAATCAAATCATATACATACAAAGCTTACATGGTAAAAAAAATGCTTAGCAACCCGCCCTGAGATGTTTGGTCGCTCTTGTGAAGTACCTGTTACAAAAAGCACGTATTCTACCAAAAGACGGTTGATGTGAAGACACTTCAGTGTCTTTCTTCAACACCACAACTGTACAACGTCACAACAACCAGACAGCAGTAACACAATCAGACGGTAAAGCTATATTCAAATTTTGCTCAAAGTAGTAAAAAAGAACACACATTTTTTTTTGGGGGGGGGGGGAAGCTGGAATTCAGCAAATATAAATATTTTTCTGAATGTGTGGACAACTTCACATTGAATGTATTTTGGGGAGCCGTTGCTTCCCAGCCCACCTAGCACCCAAACCCGCCCCCCCTTCATTCTCCTACCTCCACTCCTTGGACTTTCAGTTTCATGTGATCCTCTCTGGTGGTTTTCCCATCTTTCCTTTTTTTCCAGCAATATCCATCTTTCCTGTATTTCACCTTCTTCCTATTGTACAGGATCATAGAACCATTCTGTGGTCTGAAAACAAGAAATAGTTTTGGATTACATAAAGAAAGAAAAAAACACCCCACCCTAAGAGAGTTTATGAAGCAATGTACTACAGACCAGCGAAAATCTCTACAGAAAAGCAATATTCCGTATTTGGCATAATATAAATCTTCACCTTTTGTTGCTGTTAACTGGATTAACTGATGTTTTGCAACCTGCAAAACTTTACTTGAGAATCTTGTACCTAATGAAGTAAGTGTGCCAGTGAGAGGGGTTTTTTTTTGGGGGGGGGGAGAAGGAAAACTTATAAAATAGCCAGTGTTTTTGTAGGATATATTATGATTGGGCTCAGCTACACACTGAAAATTATAAGGAAAGAAAGGTTAAGGAAAAAAGAGGATTGTTATTATTTTATTATAGACAGTCTTTCTCTTTTGAACGCATCAGCGGGATTAGATAACAACAACCTCTAACGCAGCACCAGAATATGGATGTTGGCTTAAAAAGGCAATAAACAAGCAAAAAAGAAAGGAAGAAAAAAAGCATTAGCTTATACATTGGTTTTGCTGTTCCTGCTTCGATCAGTGTCAGACATACAATAACTTTCTCTCTTTTGAGCACCTCCTTGACTTCAAAGACACATGAAAATATTTTTCCGCTTAGAAACCACGTTGATGCTTTAGAATATCAATAAAGACACAGTGATGCTTGCCCAACAGACAGGAGTCAACATCTTTTTGGTGTACGACAGTATTGCACAGAAATGTTTTGCATTCTGCTAAGCCAATACACAATGGACATTTCTGCTGTAATACTAAAAAATAATAAATAAATAAATAAATAAATAAAAAACCCCAACAACACATCACTGCAGAGACAGCATGCATCCCACGCAGGCAGCAGTGCTGTAGATGCTGCAGACATTTACAGTGGTGCATTAGTCACAGTAATTTGGCTTTAGGACACCAAGAACAGAAAGAAAAACGACGACATTAGCAGCAGCAATAAACAACTTTCGCAGGAAAGCTTTGGCTGGAGCCTTTTGATAAAGTTAAGCACCTGAACTTGTGTAAACAAACCAAATTAACAGAAAGAAGCTTTCAAGAGAGAGGAACCCCCTAGTCCCATCCAGTCCAGGCTTCACATCACTCCTCGCACCCCTCGACTTTTTGGACGTTAGCAGCCAGGTGTTCTCAGACGGAGCAAAGCGATACCTGGAATTGCTAAAAAACCCACCGAATATTTTCAAGGCCAGCCGACGCAAGGCAGCTCTTTAAATAAGTAAGCCAAATTAAGTGGTTTATGTTCATGCAATATTGGCTTGTGATTTCAGAGCCATGCCAAAGGTGCAAAAATCAGTGCCTGGCCCAGCTGGAAAAGCATCCTTCTTCCCTCCCGCTTCTATGTTTCAAACAGCACGACGCCATGAAATAAGCAGAAGAACAAGCTTCTGCAGGTACCCTCTTCTCATTTTTCTCTAACAAAATACTCCATTTGAAGACAACCACCTTTACCCATATTTACCACATAATAATAGTGCAGTAACATTGATGTAAAAGCTGTTAATTATAGAGTAACTCATCCCAGTGCTCCATTAAGTGCATAAAGGCACCTTGCTACTGAGGAAAACAAGCTCATGATGGTTTTCTACCACCATCGGCCAGCTAAAATTACCTAGATCAACCAATACAACGCCCTTCCTCCATCAAAACAAACACCATCAGCAATCATGGGATCTGCTACCAAAACTCCATCCTTTTCCCTCATCTCTGCACGTAAGTACTCATCTTCAGGTACATGCAAAATTTACATGCCTGATTTATGCTCAGCGTTTGCCCTGCAGAACGCACGTGCACATCACAAATTTAATGAATGTGGCTGGAAACTGCACAAAGTCTCTTTCCGTATGAAAACAGACTTTCTACTTCCACATACATTTGCAAGACTGAAATGATCTTTGATCTAAGTGATTACTAGCACATTTTTTTACTAAAACAGAAATTATAGATTTTTTTTTCCCCCACATACACGCAAATATTTATTCCCTGTGACCAGAAACCCAAGCTCTGTTCCCCCAAGACTATGCCCCCTCCTCCTCCTCTGCCACCCGTGTCCCAGCAGCCCAGACCCAAGGGCTCCGTGAGGCTGCTCCTCCTCTCTAGTCCTATACATCACCCTGAAAATAAATGCTTGGGTGTCAGTGCAACCACGGCGTCTATTTGACAGTGTCGTAGATAGTGTGGGATTAATTCAGTGGAGATATTACACGTCTTGTTTCGGTGTTTATTCTATAAACCTCCAGTCACTGCACATGTCAGCTCAAACCCTTCTCAAAACATCAAAGATTTCCCCTCGTCGCTGTCGCGGAGACGTGCCCTATGGCTTACAAGAAGTCACCTGCATGTTTAGGGTGAGTAATGAAAAGACGGCGTGGGAACTTATCTCCCGCCTAGTGCCTCGGCACTCGCACGTGCAGCTTTTCAGAAAACATACACTCGAAGGACCTGAAAGTTTTTTGATGTGAGTAAAGTACTGCTTTTCTTGCGTTCAGTGCCACGAGAGTGCGCACGTGAAGGGACCACAGAGCTGAGCTCTGCAACCTCGCTGCTGTTCTGCAAGGCTGGAATCAGGTTTTTGTTGGTCTATTTCCGCGATGAAAAAAGAACATGAGAGGTCACTGGAAAACCGTTAACAAGATTTATACAAAATAAAGCACAATGAAACAAAATCTCTTAAGGATCTCTGGAGCAGTTGTCAATTTTGATAAGAGTGTATCGAGTTGCTTTAAGACTCATAGAAAGCGACTGGTTTTTAAAGATGTCTTCATAAAATGAGAGGCAATTTTAACCTGATATACATCGCTATTATATTTCTCTTGCTGTAAGGAAGAACAGAGAGGGAAGATCTCCCGTGCTTATCTCTCTGGCACACAAACACAGCCAAGAGCACCAAACTGATGGTTGCGGGAGGACTCAGCAGATGAGGTCTGACAGCGATTCCCAGGACGCACGACGGGTGTGACTCCCAACCCAGATCTCCCCTGAAGGTTTTGCTGCTCAACCTGAATTCGGGGATTTCATTCGTACCTTTGCAGAGGAGGGGAATGAAACCGCGTGCCTGAGCATGGGCTACCCTGGGACTGCAATTCCCTACCGGCTCCTGTGGGCGTGTTTTTAGGAAGCCTGCAGCCAAGGCAAGGTTGGCTTGCCTGCGCGTCATCACACACGGAAAGCAATCGTCTTCCTCTGTACTAAACTCCACCTCGAACCACGGCTATAATAACAAATACTGGAACATTAATGGCAATTTACTTGATTTGATTAGCTACTACTTTGCAGCTACACAGTGCTCTTTTCATTAATGCAGGACTAAATGGAAAATAATAAAACAGTATTTTAATATTACGGCACAGCTGAAACCAAGCAAGCCAGAGTGATCTAAACCCAACAAGAAGCCTGTTTGTGCTTGCAGCGTGAGGTGGTGGGGCTGCTGGAGGGGTCAGCGGACCCCTGCAGAGCCTGGCCGCCGTGTGCCCCCCTCCCTTGTCCCTCCCCAGTGGGGACGGCCACAGCCCAGTTTTGCAAGTTTTGCATCGTATATGACAAAAACCAGACTCATGGCCGTGAAATGGCAGCACGATCTCACAGCAGGTCGCCTCACCTGTACTTGCTCTACATCAAACACCAGGCTACTCTGCTTACTCACTCCAGCTGATTCCCCAGGATAATGCAGAAAGGTCAATAGCATTTCCCCCTTCACTCAGAATAAATTTGTTTGCAATGAGACAAGAAAGGGTTTGTTGCTCTTACAAAAAAAGGCAGCAAACCAAAGGAAAGGGACTGGGAACAGGTGAACAGAGCAATCCTAAAATGTGACGCTCCCCCCCACTTCCATCAGCGGAGGAGACGAGCACTTTGCCTGCTTGCTTGTGTACAGTAAATTACTGTATTCAATTTAGGCTGGGAACACCAACAAGCAAACCTGCGCAATGGCCACTGCTGCTGCTGCTCCATGAGCAGAGATGTGCACCCTGTCCTCCAGTTCACAAAACCCCCCACAAAATCCCCATGAGCCCGGGCACGACGGCAGGGACCTGCCCTCGGTGCCAGCAGCCGGGCACGTCGCTTGTCTGTCTCCCCAAAAGCTGTGCAGGAGTGAACGCCTGAGCCCCGAAACAAGGGCAACTGGGCTTTTTGCAGAGACAGTGCAATTATTTCTGGTCCCACTGTGTGGAGCTTGCAGGATGGTCTACTTGCTTAGACTCAAATAGCATGCAGCAAAGTTACAACTCTGAATTTCCTCTCTTTTATGAGCCTGTGGCATTTAAAAGCTGCCCGATCTCTATTTAGGTTTCTTCCTTGCGGCCTGGGGGAAGGAGGGGAAAGGACAGGAAGAGCAACTGCAGAGCAGAAAGCCTTTCCTCTTAAGTATTGATGAAATCTGAGATGCTTCCCTCCCTCTCCCCCTATTATTTACCACCACGCTCCCACATAAATTGCCACAACAGCGTAAGAGCTACTTTTGTCCAAATTATTCCTGCTACAACTGGGAAAGAGATACTAAATTCCATTTTCGGACATATTTTCAAAGCTAACAATCATGCCCTGTGGCTGATGCGTCTTGGAACCTGCTGGGTTGCTTGGGGCTATCCGGGGCTCCTGGGGATACTCACTTCCAGCTGAGGACCGGTCCAGGCCACCGGATAAACTGGAGTTTCTCTCAGTAACACAGGGAGAGGTGGTAACGGAGCGCTTGTACCGGCAGGAAACACAGGGGATTTCCAGGGAAGATTTTCCAGAAATGTCGTTTTGGATTCAGCACCAAATTCAGCTGCGCATACCTACCTCTAGCTCCAAGTCCCGTTCTGAGGGGGTTTTGTTTCTTTTATATAAAGTCCCTTACTTGGATAATAAGAATCTAAACCAACTCATCTTGTCATGGACACGAACCAGATGCAAGGAGGGAGTAGACAGAAAACAAGTTAAGATTAGGATATTTTGGTCAACTGATGCCTCGTATCTGCCTCTCCA